GCAGGATCTTAGGTGTTCCTAGCACTGCGTTCCTCCGGGCAGAGAGAGCTCTGAGTCGGTTCCTGGGATCTGTTGCAGCCCCTCTGCCCGCTTAGGTGTCCCATCCCTGAGTGCTGGGACTGGGGAGTAGAGGCAGTCAAGCTGTCAGGAAGGATAACTGCAAAAAACATCACACGGGCGGTACACAGGGTTGGGTCAGTCAGCCCCCTCCCCTCTGGCTGCATCACCAGAACCTCCCTCCCCAGACCCACCTTCTCCTCTGTGGCCCCTTCTCTCCCAAGGACCCCATTGCAAAACTGCAGCAGACGGAGAAACCCCCTCAAACGCCTCTCCCCTTAATACATGGTTTTTTCAATCTCTTTTGGCACTCTGATGCCAAAGCTGTCACAGATAGACACATTTTCCTCCTATGCCCCCCCTTTGAAGGGGGCTCCTGTTACAACTGCTACCTGGGCCAGGGTGCCCGGAGACATAGACCCTCAACTCTGGGCTGGCACCTATCTCATTTCCTTCCTGCAGCTGACTGGCAAAACAATACATCTGTTTATCTGCCAGCACATTTGCAAATTAGCTCCCCCCATCTTACTTATCCATTTCAATGGGCATCTGTAATCACCCACCTACTGAGACTTTGGAAAAAGTGCAAAGGAGAGCAAGGAAGATACTTAAAGGTCTGAGGACTAAAACATATAAAGAAAGGTTGCAAGTTTTGGGTTTGGCTAGAGCACAGGTGTTAAACTTGTGATCTCATGTGACGTGTTGTGACTTTTTCCCTTGTGCTGGCAATGGGGTGGGAGCGGTTTCAGCGTGACACATCCAGCCCGTGGACCGTCACTTTGACATGCCTGGTATATTAGGGCTCCTGCTTGAGTAGGGAGCTGGACTAGGAGACCTTCAAGGTCCCTTCCAGCTCTATTTAAATTTGCCTGAAGCGCCAAGTAAGCCTAAACAAACTTTACTTCCCAGGTCAGCCACCAATGTCCAGGGCCAGACTGAGAGTCCCCCGGCTCACTGTCCGGGCGAGTCCCTGCAATAAGCCTCAGTGGCAAGGGAAGCCCTCACATTTGCACAGCCTGCTCACTTTGGCTAGTCTTCTGCCAGGTTAATTTGGCTTCCAAAGAGCCTGTTGAACCAGGTAGGGGGTCTGGATGTGCAAACCCAGGAGTGGGGAAGCAGGTCGTGTGAACAGAGCCTCGGGTCACGCTGGGTCCTCCTTTAGGTTGTTGTAGGCCAGAGGTGAAGAACGATGGCCGTTTTATGACTTTTGGATTTCAACTCCCAGAATTCCAGAGCCCGCATGGACCACAAATCATAAAAGGGTCATCAGCGATCGCCCTGCACGTTCCTTCCCTTTTCCAGCCGATAGCTTGCAGAGGGCACCAGCAGCCTCGCTCTGTTCCGCCTCCTAGAATGATGGCGCTGGGAGCCTCTCACTTCCGCTTCCGCCCGCCATAAACATGGCGCCCCCCAGGATTTCCACTCGTAGGTTTCTTCGGTTGTGGCCGGTGAAGGCCACGCCATTTGCAGTGCCCCCCCCTCGGTATCCTTCCAGTTCCGGCCCCCACGAACCCCGGGTCCTTCCTCGCACCTGCCCAGGAACCGCCCGCGAGAGCCGCTCTGAGGGACCCCAGTGCCCTCTTGACTGCGGGAGGTGCCGCGGCCTTTCCCGGCCCCGGAGATGAAGTAGAGCCGAACAGCAACTCCCCCACTGGCCATCAGGGGGCAGCCAAGGACGGGTATTGGTGACCTCTGCCGGCCCTCGGGAGCGCTGCAACCCAGAGATGCTCTACCCCGAGTTTCCTTTGGAGGGCAGCTCTTCCTCCCAAAGAGGGGGGACACTATCTGGCCCTAGATTAGAGTGCACAACAACCTGCCCAGGTGGACTGACGAAGGCACTGCCGACGCTGATAGGCAAGAAAGTTTAGAGTTCAGCAACATTTTGTTTCCGTTCACACAACAATCAATCAATCAATCAATCTGTTTATTACAGCCATAAGGCCAGACATAATCAAAATATAACAACAGTGACAATTTTACTTCCATATTTACAGAATATAAAACCATCAAACATATCTCAGGCTGGCCGTACATGGTGCTGACATTTGGAAAACGCATTTAGATTATGCGAATGACATGGAGGAGCTCTTTCACACCCACAACAACGAAGGCCAAATTGACCCTAGTTTCAGCCATGTCACACTTGCTCCAAATAGGCACCGAGTGGGATGATCGTTTAAAGGCAATTGATTAGTCTATTATAGCAAAGAGATTTCCCTCAATGAAAAGAGGGAATCCAGGACACAGAATCAGGTTTCATTTTATACGCCATATAGTAGAAAAAGTACAAAACAAGACTTGATTCCTGCTCAGTTAGGCCGGAGACATGGAGAGTAACATCCTATAATATTAAGCATAACCATTGAAATGTGCATTGCATTAAAAGGAGAACATGTTCATATGTGGAAAAGTGTCACAAGTCAAATGGGGCTGTTACAAAAAGGTACAATTTCAACCACACAATTTCAGTTCAGCATTTAACACAATCATTCCCCAGCATCTAGTAGACAAACTGGGCCTTTTAGGCTTAAACGCTCCTTGTGTAACTGGATTTTTGATTTTCTTACCAACAGGCTACAATATGTGCAAGTTGGAACAAATACCTCTAATTCCATTTTCTTGAGCACAGGTTCTCCTCAGGGCTGCGTCCGAAGTCCGCTGCTGTTCACCCTGTTGACCCATGACTGTTGTGCAAGGTTTGCCACCACCCATATTGTGAAGTTCGCAGATGATACAACAGTAGCGGGCCTTATTCATGATGACAATGAGGGAGCTTACCGCAAGAAGGTTGAGGGGTTGGTGAACTGGTGTAAGGAAAACAGCCTAGTTTTAAATACCGGAAAAACCATAGAAATCATTGTCGATTTCAGAAAAGGCAGGCACAGCCACACTTCTCTGTGTATTAATGATTCACCTGTGGAGATGGTTACCAGCATCAAATTCCTGGGTGTGCAGCTAATGAGTAAAATTACATACCCCTTGAAAAAGTGTGTAAAATTATTCAAATTCCACTATTTGGCATCACAGAAGAGCACAATCATTAAACAGAGTGTAGCAATAAAGGGAATAATAAAATGGCGCTGTGCATAAGTTTACTTACTCCTGAATGTTTGGGCTGAGAATACAATATATACTCATGTTGACACACAAAGGTTGAGATGGCAATGAAGGGTAAGAGTTCGCACCTTTGTTACTGAGCTTAATTAGGTCTGTGATAAACATTCAAGTAGCTTCTTAGTGCAGTATTGCAGGCAGACTGTCCACAGTCTGGAGTTTGATTCTGACAGCGCTCAAGCCTTGACTCAGCCATCCATCCTTCCGAGGATGGTAAAAGGGGGACCCAGATTGTTGGTGGCAATATGCAAATAATGTTTACCTTGGAAATCTCCCAGAGTGCGTTGTAAAGCACTATGGGGCGGCATATAAGTCTAAATGCTATTGTTATTTCAGTGGCACCGTTGTGACTGAAGGTTTTTCAACACTCAGGCATATTTAGCATTTTTTCCCCATGTGAATTCTTTGATAGAGGTGTCCACAAACAATAAAGCTCTTTCCACACTCAAGGTATTTGTACTGTTTTTCTCCCAAGTGGATTGATGCTGATAAAGACTTCCCTTCCCACAGAAACCCTTTCCACGCTCCAGGCATTTATAAGGTTTCTCTCCTGGATAGAGTCTTTGAGGTCTGTAAAGGTTTCCACTCTGACTACAGCTTCTTCCACACTCCAGACATTTATATGCTTTTTCTCCTCTGTGAATGCTTTGATGTTTATGGAGACCTCGAATTTCAGTAAAGCTCTTTCCACACTGGAGGCATTTACAGATAGTCCCCCAGGTGCGAGAGTTCATTTAGCCACTTTTCACAAAAATGAATTAATTAAATTAATTCAGGAAGGGTACTTAGATTAGAAATTCAGAATTGCGACCAAAAAGATCTGTCTAGCCATGTGACTTGGTTTCAGTCTCTACTGCAGTGGTGGCCATTTTTATCTCTCCGACTTTCCTTGGCTGTTCGGGGGTACAAGAAGCTGGCAGGGGTTGTGGGGGGGTTGTCCCTGGCCACACGGCCAAACAAATGCTTTTGCTAGCTGAAGATGCTTGAGCTGGCTAGCAGCCGTTATTTTTTTTAAAAGGTAACTGAAATGGTTCCAAGCTAAATTGGCATTTATACGGTTTCTCCGCTTGTGTGGATTCTTTGATGTGTATAAAGGTTTCCCCCCTGATTGAATCTCTTTCCACACTCCAGGCATTTATGTGGTTTTTCTCCTGAATGGATCCTTTGATGTACGTAAAGGTTGCTCCTCTTACTGAAGCTCTTTCCACACTCCAGACATTTATGCGGTTTTTCTCCTGTGTGGATCCTTTCATGTGTATAAAGGTGTCCCCGCCGACTGAATCTCATTCCACACTCCAGGCATTCATATGATTTCTCTCCTGAATTGATCCTTTGATGTTTATAAAGGCCGCTCCTCTCACTGAAGCTCTTTCCACACTGTAGGCATTTATACTGTTTCTCTCTTGAATGGATTCTTTTATGTGCATAAAGATTTCCGTGATGACTGAACCTCTTTCCACACTCCAGGCATTCATACGGTTTCTCTCCTGAATGGATCCTTTGATGTACGTAAAGGTTGCTCCTCTGACTGAAGCTCTTTCCACACTCCAGACATTTATAAGGTTTTTCTCCTGTGTGGATCCTTTGATGTCTACAAAAGACTCCCCTCAGACTGAATCTCTTTCCACACTCCAGGCATTCATATTTCTCTTCTGAATGGATCCTTTGATGTCTATTAAGGTGTGCCCTCAGACTGAATCTCTTTCCACACTCCAGGCATTTATGTGGCTTTTCTCCTGTGTGGATCCTTTGATGTGCATAAAGGTTTCCCCTCTCACTGAAGCTCTTTCCACACTCCAGGCATTTATGTGGCTTTTCTCCTGAATGGATCCTTTGATGTCTATAAAAGTTGCTCTTCTCATTGAAGCTCTTTCCACACTCAGGGCATTTATGCCGTTTTTCTCCTGAGTGGATCCTTTGATGTCTATAAAGGCTGCTCCTCTGACTGAAGCTCTTTCCGCATTCCGGGCATTTATGTGGCTTTTCTCCAGTGTGAATTCTTAGATGCTTGTTAAGATCTCCATTTCTTTTGAAGCATTTTCCACATTCCGGGCATTTTTGTTTCTTTCCTCCCTCCTGGATTCTCTGGGAATTCCCGAGTCTTCCGCCTCTTCTGAAGGACCCTCCGCCCT